CTTGCTTGCTTGCTTGCTTGCTTGCCTTTTTTTAGAATTAGGTGCAAAGCTGTATTTTGCTCAAGGACAAAAAGATCTCAGTGGTGCCAGGACAGTTATTGCAAAGAGCCACAGTGCCATCCTGTGTACCAAGTGTGTATTGCATGACCCATCATTTGGGGTTTTGCTTCATTGCCACTATGTGACAGAAAGCCTTGCTTACATGAGCTTGCTTGTTTTAATAAATTTTCATTAGTGTGGAATAGAATTCTAATTAAATCTGAGAATGCAGGGATGTCACTAATTGGCAGATAAATTCCCAACAGTTGGTAATCATCCTATGGAAATTCAGCTTTGGGAATTGGAGAGACCTCATTACTGATCTGCATATTCTAAACTTGGGGATGATGCATTCTTTTGTTATCTGTGTTTAGGGGAGCATAAAAGCTGGACAGAGGGGCATTGGGAGAGGACAAGGGAAGAGTCGGTGACCATGTACACAGTGGCTGCAGTTCAATCAAGAGGGTTCTTTTTGTTGTACACATTTGCACAACAAAAAGGAGAGAGGGCGTGACAGCTGATATTGGTTGTCACCTCGACAGGATCTAGAATCATCCATGAGGTAAGCCTCTGGGCACACTGGTGAGGGATGGATTTAGTTCAGTTAATCTCCAAGCATGCCTGTGAAGGATTTTCTTGGTTACCACCCAGAAGGTGGATAGTATCTTCCAGCAGCTGCCCAGATGTAAGGAGGCCCAAGGGCGAGCTCTCACTTTTCGTCTCTTTGCCCTTGTGTCTTGGTGCTGTGTTCACTGGCCTTGTTTGCCCTACTAGTGAGAGTCTTCCTTTGCTGACGTCAGGGCTCAGCCTCTTCAGCCTTCCATTGTGGACTGAAGACAGTGGCTTTCTGGGAGTCTTCCAGGACTTCAGTGCTAGACCAGGACTGTGAGACATCCTGTCTCCTAGACTGTGTGGCTTCTGGGTTCTCAGTCTCTTCAGTGTGAAGACAGCCTTTGCTGGACTACCCAGGCCTTATCTTGTAAGCCAGTCAAGTAAACTCTCTTTTAATATATATTCATTCTATGTGCTCTGTTCCCCAGAGGACTCTGATAGAGAGGGGAGAGATGATCTGGGAGACAGAGGGGAGCATTCAGGAACACTGTTCTTAACTAGTGAAGGGCTGTCAACCTGTTTCCTAAGGGGAGAGACAGGCTTTAGACAGTTCACCTATGCTGTGCTGGCTAGTTTTATGTTCAGTTGACGCAGACTAGGTTCATTTGGGGAAAGGAAGGCTCAGTTGGGGAAATGCAGCCACCAGATTGGTCTCTGTGCAAGCCTATGGTACACTTTCTTGATTGATGATTAATGTAGGATGGCCCAGCTCACTGTGGACAGTGCCACCTCCATGCTAGTGGTCCTGAGTTGCTATAAAAAAAGCAGGCTGTGGGGCTAGAGAGATGACTCAGAGGTTAAGAGCACTGACTGCTCTTCCAGAGGTCCTGAGTTCAATCCCCAGCAACCACAGGGTGGCTCACAGCCATCTGTAATGAGATCTGGCTCCCTCTTCTTTATACATAATAAATAAATAAATCTTTAAAAAAATATTTTTTAAAAAGCAGGCTGAGCAAGTCATGAGGAGCAAGCCAGTAAGCATCACCTCTCCATGGCCTCTGCATCATCACCTGCCTCCAGGTTCCTGCTCGGCTTGAGTTTCTGCTCTCACTTCTCTGGATGCTGGACTACAAACTGTAAGCTGAAACAAAACTTTTCTTCCCCAAGTTGCTTTTGGTCATGATGTTTCATCACAACAATAGAAGTCCTAACTTAGACATGTGGTGACTAAGAGGGCATGGTACAGATGCTTAAAGATGTATAGACAACGTGTTGTTGACATTTGATTGATGTCACCTTTGACTCATTCGTTGTCATCCTCTCCCTTACCACTCACATATCAACCACCAATCAACTCTTTCTGGTTCCAATCACTAGTTTGTAGCACAGATGAACTTCTTGGTCCATGGTACCTTTTCCATCATTCCCCACCCTCCTAAATAGCATTTTACCAACAGGTGTCCCTACTCAGAATTCTCTCCCTAGAATCCAGAGAGACCCAGCTCAAGCAAACACTCTCTCGTCAGACTGCTTTGGAAGAAGGGAAGGAAAGCCTTGCATGGTCTAGACTCTCCGGAACAGCTTCCCGCCCCTTCTGCTGATGCTCCCATGTGACTTATGCCCCAGCGTTGTGTGTTTATACATTTTCTTCCTCAAAGTGCTCCTCTGGCTTGAAAGGCTTACCCAGTGGAATTCACTGCTACCCTTCCCCTTTCCACCTTTCCTTCAGGTCCAGCTAAATATTCATTATCCTTTGAGGATCCTGTGCACATTTTCAGAATATCTCCCAGAGCCTATCATTCCTCATAGCTGGGGTGGATTCTTTCCTTTTGAGTTCCAATACCTGATACCCATTTCATTCTTGTCTATAACTCAACTTGGCATATCAGCTCTTGTGTATCTTTGGTCCATCTCTTGAGGGTAGAGAGCCTGTCCTTGATCCTTGGATTCCTAGTGCTTGGCACAGTACTTGTAGAGTATTTGGTACATTTTTTTGTTTGTTGGTTGGTTGGTTGGTTTTTGTTTTTGTTTTTGTTTTTGTTTTTTTTTTTGAGACAGAGTTTCTCTGTGTAGTTTTTTGGTGCCTGTCCTGGATCTCACTCTGTAGACCAGGCTGGCCTCGAACTCCCAGAGATCTGCCTGGCTTTGTCTCCCGAGTGCTGGGATTAAAGGCGTGTGCCACCACTGCCTGGCCAGTATTTGGTGTGGTAGTTGGTGGAAAGTGGGCATTGAATGATGATGATCTGAATTGAAGAGCATGTTTTACTGGGAGAGAATGTATGCTTTTTAATGTTTATGGTTTACTTATTTTTACTCCTGGAAAAATAAGCATTATAAAACAAGGAAACAAACCCAAAACTAGGTCTCAGTAGGGGAAGGAGAGGCTCGGTGCCCAGGAAAACTAGAAGGTTAATACTAGCGAGGATTAGGGCCATGCATAGTGATTTTTGATGAGTGATTGTAGCTTCATGATGTTAGGTAGGAGAGGGCACAGGGTATAATCTTAGAAGTACTCTGGGTGGGGAAGCTAGCATGCTAGCAGAAGCCTGCTGGCCCCAGCAGGAAATCTCAAGTGAGGTACCACCACTGCTGTCCTCTCCACCTGAGCGGCCCTTCTCAGCCCAAGTCATCCCCTAAGTCTGAAGAGGCCAGCATAGGGCATCAGACCCCCTGGACCGGGAATTACAGGTGGTCATGAGTCACTGTGTGGGTGCTGGGAACTGAACTCAGGTCCTCTGTAAGAGCAGAAAGCCCTCCTAACAGCTGAGCCGTTTCCCCAGGCCACAAATTAATTTCCTAAGTGGGTATAAACTTACAGCTCTATTATAGGGTGAAACGGCTCGTTGAATTCAAGTCTCCGAGGGCAGCCGTATTTTCCCACATCATACCTTATTTTCTAGAAAAAGAAAAAGTGCTTTAGTGTGTGTCCATTTATCCCAGTGACAAAAAGTGTGCTTTTCTTACCACATTTTCAGGTGGACTGTCTCTCAGATATTCCCTGTGGAAAAAAGACACCTGTTATTATTATCTGCTTATTCTTCCTCCTTTCTGACTGAAAAACTAAAAGCATAGTTTATTTAGGCTGGTGTCACGAAAGCCAAGTAGAGAAACAGGATTCTAAACTAGCAAGTGCTTCCCACCAACTGGCACTTTCCATGTCTTTGGCTGTCTCTGTGAATACAGTCTCACATCCACCAACAATCAGCCAGGCACAGGCCACTGTCTTTCATTGTCTTTCATTCAGAGACATGGAACCATTTTTTTTTTTCAGAAATCGTATGAAACTTGATTCAAGGTTGCAAACCCTGTTTCGCTAGTGAGAAGGATCCATGGTTGGAAAGTCTGCGTTCACTGTTCTCCTCAAACCGTGTCCCCAGAACATCACTGTCCTAATCACTTCCTATTTATGTGAAGAGACACCGTGGCCAAGGCAAGGCTTACTCTTTAAAAAGCATTTAATTGGGGGCTTGCTGACAGCTTTAGCGGGTTAATTGTGATCATCATGGTGGGAAGCAGACAGGCATGGTACTGGAGCCGTGGCTTAGAGTTTCTAACCCGATCCACAGGCAGGAGCAGAGAGAGAGAGACAGGGCCTGGTATGGGCTTTGGGAACCTCAGAGCCCACTCCCAGTGACACACCTCCTCCAACAAGGCCACACCTCCTAATCCTCCCCAAACAGTTTCACTCACTGGTTACTGAGTATCCCATTATATGAGCATTTGGGGGCCGTTCTCATTTAAATCACCACAATTACTAAATGAAGGAGTCAGAAACAACAGACTTTGCTTTTAAAGACAAGGTCTCGTGATGCCCAGGCTGTCTTCAAACTCATTGAGCCTCTTGCCTTCACCTTGCAAATGCTGGGATGATGGACACGTGCCCCCATGTCTTGTGTGTGTGTGTGTGTGTGTGTGTGTGTGTGTGTTTTGTCATGCCTGGCCAGTACTCTACCACTGAACAACATGCCCACTTTTAGATGTGTATTTTAATTAATTAATTGACTTACTTATTGTACATGTATGATGTGTGTGAGTGTGTATGTGTACATTTGTATGAATACAGAAACACATATACCATGGCATACATACAGAAGTCAAAGGACACCCTCTGGTGTTGGCCCAGGTCATCCATATTGCCTGTGACAAGGTCTTTTTACTGTTTGCCACTGAGTATGCCAGTCTAGCTGTCTGCAAGAATCTCTTGTTTTGGGGATGGGGATTTAGCTCAGTGGTAGAGCGCTTGCCTAGCAAGCACAAGGCCCTGGGTTCGGTCCTCAGCTCTGGAAAAAAAAAAAAAAAGAATCTCTTGGTTTTTTTGCCCCCATCTCACTGTAGGTGCCCTGAGATTTAAGGTAAATATTACTGTGCCTAGAACTCCATGGGTTTGGGGGACATTACTCACTGAACTATCTCTCTAGGCCCTGGTAATCTATTTTAAAATCCCCATTTGAAAATTCCCTAATTTCAATTTATTCCTGTAATGGAATCCTTCTCCTCTGTGAACTCAAGAGATGTCTGTAAGTTCTAACTAGGTAATTATACAGTCATGTAGAAAAGGAAGGTGGGAAATAAATACTCTATTTGTCTTACTTACATGAGAAGGAACAATATGGGATTTGAGACTAAATGATACTTTATTTATTGAATTGAACCAGAGAGGACATGATAAGTGTGCTTGTACATGTTTCAGAGAAGGTTAAAGGTTGTATCTCCAGCTTTTTTTTTTTTAAATTTGGAAACTGCCAAGCCAAATACATCTATGCCAGTGGTATTTCCACCACAAAGTACTAGCCGATTATAAACTACTAGCTGTACATTAATATGCTTATGTTAAAAATATTTCTTACTTGTCAATCACATAAGAAAAATCACGGCGATGGCATCCAGTTCTATTAAATCTACAAAAACAAAACATAATGTAGTTGTAAGGTCATTCCTCATAAATGTGTAAACAATTCATCATTGAGACCAGTGGTTCTGAAACTGGAGATTGTTACATAATTGATTTACTAAATTAAAGTCTCTGGGATCAGTTTGTGGCCTTAGCATTTCTATTTATAAAATCATTTTCACAAACTTTTCTGATTTACCTCATATTTTGTATATACTTATTAAAATTTTAGAAGAAATAAAGGAGAAGAGAATGTTCAAAAACTACAATGATCAATTAGGTAGGATTAAGTATAAGAGGTCTGTTATACCACATTGTGACCACAGTTAACCATATATTGAGGTTTTGAAGCCTGCTGTGATGGCAACACACAATGGTTGTCAACTTGACTACATCTGGAATTTACCACCATCACCCCCCATGGAGGGGCACATCTTTGAGGGATTATTTGCTTAGTTTGAAATGAGAAGATCCACTTCTACTCTGGATCTTTGAGGCAGGAAGGCACACCTCTAATCCAGATCTTTTGAGATGGTAAGGTCCACCTCCAATTTGGACCATGCCTTCTGCTGGAAGCCTATATAAGGACATAGAAGAAGGAAGCTTTTCCTCTTTGCCTGCTTGCTCTTGCCTCACTAGCAAGACCATTTCCTCACTGGCATTAGAGCCTACTTCTTCAAGATTCCAGCATATACTGAAGACCAGCTGAGACATCCAGCCTTGTGGACGGAACAACTACTGGATTCTTGGACCTTCCATTCATAGGCAGTCATTGTTGGATTAGCTGGACCACAGCATGTAAGTCATTCTAATAAGTCCCCTGTCTCTCTCTGTATAGATTCATTCTGTAAGTTCTGTTACTCTAGAGAATTCTGACTAATATAGCTGCTGAGACAACACAAGTGTTCTCACTACAGAGTGAAAACTATGGGAGACAATGCAAACATTAGCTAGGTTTAGTCATTCCACAATGACATCAAAACACCATGTTATACACAGCAAATACAATTTTATCTAGTAACAAGTAAAACACAAAACAAAGCAACAAATCTTGGAGAGGGTGTGGAGAAATTGGGGCCTCCACACATGGGTGGCAGTACTGTAACCATGGTACAGCCATTGTGGGCAATGGTTTGGCAGCTCCTCAATAAATTAAAGGCCAGACTGACATGTGATCCAGCATCTTCATTCTGTAGTGGAAACCTGAAGCAATCTAAAGTGTGCTTCAATAAAAATGTATACACAAATATTCACAGGAGGCCAAAGGCAGAGTCTCAGCAAAGCTACAACAGGACACCAGCTGCAGCCTCCCTCTCCACGGCCCACATCTCCTGTGGGTCCCACAGGCCACACCCCCTTGTGGACCGAACCTCCCTCTCTTGTCACTGTGTCCCAGCCTCCAGCACCAGCAGCCACTCCCCGTGGACACACTAGCTCAACAGACCAGGAAACACAGGCAACACACAGCCACCATACACTCCAAAACGGAATACAAAGGATCAGTGGACCACAGTTGGTTCTTTGTGAAAATCAACAAGATAGACAAACCCTTATCCAAACCATGGATCTCCCTGGGAAGGAGAAATAGAGTAGATTTTTATGGGTAGACTGGGGACAGGTAGGGGCTGGAGTGGGAGGAAGAGATGAGATGGAGGGAGAGAGCACAGGGAGAGCTGGTTGGAATTGGGGACATTTGGGGTGCTGTGTGGAAACCTAGTGCAGTGGAAACTTGCTGGGTGGTCCTTAATGAGGACTTCTAGTAATGGGGGACATGGAGTCTTAACTGGCCATCTCTTGTAGTCAGGCAAGGTTGCATTCAATTGAGTTGTTAGCCAAGTGAGTCCCATGGAAATCCCCAAACAACCCAAGCTGATATTAAGGCAAAAGTTGGATCTCTGAAAACTGACAGTGGGGGCCCCATTGCTGAGGACAACATCTACACAATTCACTAAACGTGGAGAAGTTGAACTGGTGCCTACATGGAACCTTCACCCCTACAGTCTAGTCTCTTTGGTGTGGAAAGATACTTCGCAGGCTACTGAAAGAGAAATATGGAAACCAACCCAGCCACAAAACCTTTGACCTACAAGCTGTCATGCCTGCAAAATATGCTAGGGCAACAGTGGTACAGAACTTGTTTAACCCTGTGAAGCTGTGTTGTTTTGACTGTCTAAAACACCTGGTTGGTCTAATAAAGAGTGGAGTGACCAGCAGCTAAGCAGGAGAAAGAATAGGTGGGGCTGCCAGACAGAGAGAATAAACAGAAGACAAAAGAAGAGGGAAGAGTGAGAAAAAGGAGAAGGAGAGGAGGATGCCAAGGGCCAGCCACACAGCCACACAGCCAGCCACAGAGTAAGAAATAAAGATAGACATATAGAATAAAGAAATGTAAAAGCCCAGAGGCAAAAGGTAGATGGAATCGTTTAAGAAAAGCTGGCTAGAAACAAGCCCAGGCATTCAAAAGTAAGAATAAGTCTCCATGTATTTATTTGGGAGCTGGGAATAGACACTTGTTTTGGACTAGAGCAAGCCATTTCCTAAATACTAAGATGTAAATCCATGACCTCCAACCATTCACACTTCACACTCACGCCCTCACAAAGGAAGTTGTTCTCTTCATTAAGCACTGGACTTCAGTCAAACGTTCTTGTATGTGTTGACTCAGATTCTCTACCGTTCGGAAGACAGCTTTACAAACGGGCAGCACAGTGTGCCTCATTGTGAGGGTGAGGAAATTCAGACCTTGGGATGCTCTGAGGGGACCGTTGGTGGTTCTGTTAGGCTATAATAAGAAAACCTATCCAGGAAAGAGTGCAGGCAGGAGAGGCCTCTCTAGCCCAGGTGTAGACAACTCTCTGACAAGGGGAAATCGTGAGTGGTTCAAGTAGGAAAGAAAGCAGGGGAAGGGCTTCTCCCTCTTGTTTTCTGAGACTGTGCTACAGACTGCTAGGTAACAGCAAACACAGAGACCGGCTTGTGAGGAGGGAAAGGGGCTGTCTTAGTCAGGCTTTCTATTGCTGTGAAGAGACGCCATGACCACCACAACTCTTATAAAAGAAAACACTTCGTTGGGCGGTTTATAGTTCAGTGGTTAAGTCCATTATCATCGTGGTGGGACATGGCAGCATGCAGGCAGACGTGGTGCTGGAGAAGGAGCTGAGAGTTTTACATCTGGACCTGCAGGCCACAGGAAGTGAACTGAGACACTGGATGTGGCTTGAGCATATATGAGGCCTCAAAGCCCGCCCCCACAGTGACACACTTCCTCCAAAAAGGCCACACCTCCTAATAGTGCCACTCCCCATGCGCTTATTGGGGGGCCGATGACATTCAAACGACCACAGTGGCACCAAAAGAGATGCTACCTCAAATGTAAATGTGACTTGGCAATCATTTCACACCAGAGTCTAGAGAGCTGGCTCGGGGGTTAAGAGCACTGGCTGCTCTGACGGAGGACCTCGGTCTGATTTGCAGTGCCCCCTGGGTGGCTTACAACTGTCTGTAACTCTAGTTTTAGGGGACTCGATGCCCTCTTCTGGACTCTTAGAGCACCAGGCAAGCATGCAGTGTACAAATATATGCGCAGGCAAAATACTCACACACATCAAATAAAATATTGAAACTAACTGAAGCTGGACACCAATTCCTGTTCAACTTTAGATCTCATCATGAACATGCCAGTTAGGGACTGGTGTTTTTAACCGATGATTACCACTCCATGCACCATTTGTTTTAAAGCTTAAGAGTAAGACCCAACCAATGGACGTGATATACTTACCCTCTAACCTGAATGTGCTTATTTGCATCACATCCAACAGCAATTTCAAACACCTGGAAATGAAGTAATTTTACAAAGTGAATTCAGCAACTCGGGCTCGCACGACCTGAGCTAGCTCTAGAGACAAACACAGTTATTACATTTTAGATTAGAAACAAAGACTGAATATGCCTTATCTGAAACGTGTGGCAGCAGAAGTATCCCAGGTTTATAGAGTATTTGCATGTACCTAATGAGGTATCTTGGAGGTGAGCCCCACTGGACCTCATCTTCTGCCTCTGCCGCTGCAACCCTACCAACTCCATGCTTGCAGCTGGCGTTGTAGACTCTGCCAGCAGGCATCTATAATGTACTTCACTCACGCAGTAATTTGTCAGGGAACTGAGTAGCCTCGCATGCAGCAGCTTCTCTTGCTTTGCTACTTCCGGTTTACACAGCGCTAGTCTTTATTCAAAGGAGTAACAGGTCAACCAACTACTGATAGGCTACATACCAGGCCTATGGATATTTGTTTTAAACACCCTAACCTCACATGTGTGATAATCCTTCTGTTTCCTTCCACGTGCTGTGATTACAGGTGCCGTGCGTTTCCACATTCCCAGTGTGTATACGAACTACCGCGGATACGGTTGCTTAGCAGCCAGCATAGCATCTGCCAGACTGTGAGAGGCTTTATTAACACAGCTGGTGCTTACCGGGAGAAACTCTTGCATTCAGTGGGAAAGGCAGCAGTGACATCATACAGACATTCCACATGGAAAAGGGCAACATTAAAAGAACCAAATATAACTCCACTGTGAGAGAGACCCTACCTCAAAATATAAGGTGGATCGAGATAACATCTGACATCAACCTTGGGCCTCCACAGTTGTGAACACACAAACGCGTGTGCCTACATGCATGTACACGTGCCTATACACCACAGATATATACATATATACAACATCTATTGCAGTCTGATGTGATGTGTGTGTAAGATATACATGTGTGTGTGTATATATATATATATATATCCCCCATTTTTTGGATATAGGGTCTTGTTCCATTGTCCAGGCTCTCCCTGAACGCTTGAACTCAATCCTCTTGCTTTTTGCCTGACCCTGATTTGAAAAATATATTGTTTTTGCCCTTGAATCCCTCCATTGTTGAAAAGGTCAATGCTTTTCCAAGAAGGACATGGTAGAATGATGACTATTTAAAAAAGAGAGAGAGAGAGGAAGAGAGACTTTTTATTTCTTTTGCTATTCATACCTGGTAGCCAGATGCATCGTATTTAAAGTTCAAAGGTTAACATCATTGAATCTCTACCATTAAGAACCCTTGGCCAGGGGTTTGGGATTTAGCCCAGTGGTAGAGTGCTTGCCTGGCCAGCGCAAGGCCCTGGGTTCGGTCCTCAGCTCCAGGAAAAAAAAAAAGAACCCTTGGCCAAAGTTTTACTCTCTCAATGCTTAGAAATATATTGCTTAAAAATTACACACAGCTTATGTAGGACTAAAGTAAGGACTATATTAGCTTTAAAAGAAAGCTTAAGAAGACAGCCAAGGTTGAAAATATAGCAGATTAAAAAAAAGAAAGAAAGAAAAATAGCAGATAACTGCTTTCAACTTCGTAGAACTGCCCGTGTTTCTGTCAGAGCCAAGGGCCTGGTTCTCTCTCCCCTGCCTTGAAAGCCATGGCCTTCTGGTCCTATTGCCAGAGACCTTTTCCACAGGGGGAGTTCTTGGATCTCATTTGCTTACCATCTCACCCACAGGATACGATTTATTTTCCCAACAAAGCTGACTTGCATCTCTTATTACCTACGTTCACTCAGTCTTTTCTTCACTGTGAAATTCACCCAGCAGCAGCACCGCCCTGCCCTTGCGTTTCCTGAGCAGTCCGTATCCCATCAAAGGGTGGCTGTACTCAACTCTATTGTGGTCAGGCCAAATGGTGTCCATCACATGATGGTTTCATTTGTAATACCCCATTCTCATCCTGGTCTCAGTGGTCAAAAATCACAAGCCCCAGAACCAGTGACCCCAGCTAGGATTAAAAATATGAATTGTCTTGCAGGTGCACCTGGAAAAGGAGCTGTGCAAAGAGGAAGCCTGCTTTCTAAGGAAACTACAGCACAGGTTAGGCACGCGGCCTTCTGGACATCTGCTTGGAGACAATCTGATCAAGAGCCTAAGAGAAACCATTTCTCTTTAGTTCAGAGACAGGACAGGACTGCTCTTGCCTCAGCTCAGGGTCGGGCCCAGCAAATTTTATTCGATGTATCTGCGTATTTGCCTGCTAGTTTGTGTGTGCATCACATGCATCCAGGTGTTCACAGAGGCCAGAAGAGGACAAGGGAGCCCCTGGAGCTGGAGTTGCAGTCAGTTGTGAGCCAGCCCATGTGGGTGCTAGGAACTGACCCCTGGGAACTGAACTCTTAGTCACCGAGCATTCCCTCAGCAGCAGGCCCAGCTTAGGGAACAATGGGTCCCACATGGGAATTCTAGTGGCCGTTGTCACTGATATGCTGGTGTGCAACATATTAGAGCTGTCATCCCTTCATGGAGTAAATTCTTCTCCCAAAGAATTAGCAGGGACACCTGGGGGCTGGCCTACACTCCTGCATGTCCAACTCTTGGTGCATGGTTGAAAGTTGACATGCTGCCTTGTTGGAGATCACGGTTCTATTTGCTGCGGGCAATGAGACCACATGACAAAGTCAGCAGGCTCCAATCCAAACGACTCACTGTGGGTCCTTTGGTCTGGCAGTTTTAACAAAAGCCTGACGTCATCGGATGGAGAAGAGGGTAGAGCTGTCTGTCTCCGGACGCTTTTCCCAGGAGGCCAATCACTTATCTGGTAATTCATGAGCACGGCTCCAGAGCACAAAGAAGGGACTCTGTGCTTGAGAACACACTCTCTGTTTGGTGGACAGGTTTTGACTTCCCTGTCTCTGCCGCATGACATTCTCCTGTGGCTTAGGAGGGCTGCTGCACAATACTCCGTTGGCTTTCTGAAGGTATCCACAAAGGTCAGGGCCAAACCTCTCAAGGCAGAAAGTCCAGACTTAGTCAGAGCTGCAGTTTTGTGCTCCCACTGCACAGTGCAGGTGGTGAATATGGGTGGTGCCGTGTGTGTGTGTGTGTGTGTGTGTGTGTGTGTGTGTGTGTGTCGGGGGGGTACTGCTAACACAGTGCTAGGCAGCAGGTACTAGCACCGCTAAACATCCCGTTTACCCCAGTTAAACCTGGCCCTGGTACAAACAGGGGCTTGCCCGGCATCCTAAAGAAGGGGCACCAAAGCCCTATTCCATTTTGTGTGCCTGTGTTCCTCTTGTGCCCACTGTATACCGGCTGGCTGCTGGTTAGACTGAGAAGGCCTGACAGATCACAGACCCAAAGGAGGTAAGTACCGGCAGCTGCCAGAACATCCTGCGGCTGTTTCTCACCTTGGCGCTGTCTTCTGTGCCTCGTCGTGGGGTCCCTCTGCCTGTGCCTGCTGTGTCCACTCATTCTTCAATCACACATTTCCTCTATCTTCTCCCCCCCTCTTTCCCTTCTCAATCATAGTTGCTTTCTCTCCCCTCTGAGCTACTTGGTGACTGTGTGCTCCGTGTTGTCTCACACCAGATGTATTTCCCTCTAGGGAGGACACTTTATAATTCCCATTACCAAGTACACAGACGGAAAGACAGAATATAATGGGATAGAATCAGCTCTTCTGGAAAAAAAGAAACAAATGAGTCCCTCTGGATGAATGAAAATGCATGATCCATGTGAGGGTGTCTGGCAGACTCCTTTGACAAATCCTACCCAATTGCATTTGTTCCCATTAATTTTGATTTTTCTTTACACAATTTACCTTCAAACCTTCAAAAACTAACAGTGCCACCCTCTTGCGTACATTTATGCAATCCCACTTTAGGTGAGAGACTCATAGAAGACAGAAATCGTATCTTCTGCTTCCAAAGCAAAGGAGGCTTATCTTCCCCGTGAAACCCAGCAACATGAGACATAGAGGGGTGAGGACTGTATGAACATAAAATGTATTATTTAGTTTATGAACCATACCTTTTTTTGGTGTGTGTATGTGTGTGTGGTGTGCTTGTGTGTGTGCCCATATATATGTAGGTACGTATGTGTGTAGGTGAATATGCATGTGTGTACTTATGTGTGGAGGCCTTAGATTGGTATCAGGAGTCATCCTCCACCACTGTCTACCTTATCCTTCGAGGCAGAGTCTCTCTATTGAGCTCAGAGCTCACAGACGTGACCAGTCTATCCAGCCAGCTTGCTCTGGGGATCCCCCGACTCCACCATCCAAGTGCTGGAATTACAGGTGGGCTGCCATACCCACCCAGCATTTCTGGGAGTTCTGAAAATCCAAACTAGTCCTCAAGCTTTTGTGGCAAGTGCTTATCTAGTGGTCCACCTCCCAGTCCCTGACTATATATTTTTGAAGGAAAATAGTTGATCTCTAACCCAGTCACCCACCTGTTTGGCCATCGGACATGTTTTTGAAAATTGGCTAGGTCGGAACTGAACAAGCATGAGACCCGTGTTCTTGTCCCTAGGAAAAACAATCCATACAGGTTAGTGTAGAATCATGACAACAGGAGACAGATAGGAATCTGTCTCCATGGAGAGCAAATGGGAAGTCCTAGTACATGTGGGGGGTTGAACCCTGTGAGGAGCTGAAGAGGCCTGGAAGGTGGCTACTTCCGCGAAGGCAGCTCTTTATAATGTCCTGTGGCAGCTCCAGCACTCCACCCACCCCGCCAACCCTCTCTGCTCCTTTATGTCCCATGCTTTGACCAGAGGTTGGCACAGCAGGAAACAGGAGTGAGCATCCACCAGCATTTTAGGTACTTCTCACTCCCTTTACAGATGCCCTCAGTGCCTGGATCCTGAGCTTCTTTACCCGATGCCTTGACCTGCTTTCTCCTGAAGTGCTCCCTTTTGCTCTACAGAGTTCCCATCCCACTGGCAATACCTTTGAAACAATGAAGAGCAATTCACCTCCTAACCTCATCGAGTTGCATAATTGATTTGATTTGAACTCAAAGAAAGGTCAGATATAACACCTTTCTTAGTTACATACATGTGCGTGCGTGAATGTGCATGCGTGCGTGCGTGTGTTAGTATGGGACAGAGGTTGACATCAGATATCTTTCTTGATCACTGTCCACCTTGGTTTTTGAGACAAGCTCTCTTACTGAACCAGGACCTCACTGATTGGACTACACTGGCTGACCAGTAAGCCCCAGGGATCAGCCTGTGTCTCCTGGCCCCAGTGCTGGGGTTACAGACGTGTGTAGCTTTTACATGGATGCAGGTGATCCAAATTCAGGTCCTCATGCTTATGTGGCAAGCACCTGACTGACTGAGCCGCCTCCTCAGCCCCTGATTTTATTAACGGCACTCATCATCAGCACTCGGGATTATTCAATTGACTCAGTTGCTTAGCATTTGTCTTTTCCCACTGGAGATAGATTCTGATGTGTGGGTACTCAGTCTTTCTATTCACAGTTAAAGACTTTCTCTGATATGAAGATGTCTTCCTTTTGATTAAGGATATTATGTAGAGACTTTGAGTTGGGAATTAATGATAAAACATGCATGAAAATTATTGAATTAACAAGTAGCTGTTTTGGTTTGGATCAGAATGGCTTACAGGCTCACATGTGGCATGGTCCCCAGGGAGATGATGGACCTGAAGGGGGTGATGTCCTTCAAGGGGAATGTTGACCCTGGTTTCTTCCTCCTTGGCACCTGGCTCATGGGATCCATCACCTGCTCTTGCTCTGATGCTACTGCCTTGCCACAGTTCCAGAAGCAATGGGGCTCAGGGGCCTGAACTCAAAACTTCGAAATACCCCTTCCTCACTGGATCTTAGTTGCTTCAGGTGTTTCATGGCAGCTGCAAAGCTAAGCTGAGGCTGTCTCCTATTGTCTTCGGCAGGGTGAAGGAGACCCTTCAGGCCACTTGCCACTCGCAGGGAGCATTTACATTTTAAAGACGGAATATTCATTTCACATATGTCTAGACATGCACAAGAATTTGAAGTTTGGACATTTGAAAGGGTGTGAGTTCATTTAAATGAAAGAAAACATAGGCATGAGAAACTCAAGTAACATTTTTAAAAGTCATGCTTACTCTAGCTTGAAGTAATCTTTTACTAATTCGTAGTTTGTTGTCTGAGAGAACGTTGTATACTGAAAAAGAAAATGGAAAAGTTTCTGTAGAGCAGAAAAGGTGGAAATGGGCCCTCAAGTTAGTATCCTCTAGGTTTGCACGTCTAGGTTCACTACAGTGGGTTTCAGTGTTCACCACTGCAAACCAAGCTTCTCTAAGACACACTGTGTACTTTTAGACATTTAAATATTTGAGTAAGAGAGCTGATATACTTGAGATGTATTTACTCTGTGTGTGTGTGTGTGTGTGTGACATGTGTAGGGGTATGCATGTGCTACAGCATACATGTAAAGGTCAGAAGGCAACTTGAAGGAGTTGGTTCTCTTCTGCCATGTGGATTCCTGGGGTCAAACTGAGATCATCTGGCTTGGTGACACATATGTTGTGCCCATGTGTTCCTTGTTGAAGCCAGAGAACAAACTCAGGTGTTGTTTCTCAGGCACCATTTGTGTTCTTTATTTATTTATTTTTTTTTAGATTTTATGTGTATTTGCCTGCATGTATGTATGTATGTATGTATGTATGTATGTATGTATGTACCATGCCTACGGTGCCCTCAGAGCCAGAAGAGGGCATCAGTCCCCCTGGAACTGGAGTTACAGATGATTTTGAGCTATCACATGGGCGCCAGGAATGGTACCCGGGTTCTCTTAACCACTGAGCCATCTCTCCAGATTGCCCCCCCTCCCCCCGAGGCAGGGGCTTGCTGTCACTGATGTGGAGCTTATCAAGCAGGCCAGGCTGGCTGGTGATGAACCATAGGGATCTGTCTGTCTGTCTCTGAGAACATGATGCTGGGACTGAAAGTGTGTGCTACCAACGCTGAGTTTTTTTTTTTTTGTTTGTTTGTTTTTGTTTGTTTGTTTGTTTTTGAAATGTGGGTTCTGGGGATCGAACTCACGTCCTTGTGCCTGGACCACCTCCCTCGCCCGGGTTAATTATCTCACTGAACTTCTCTCTCCCCAGCACTTGGCATTTGCCACTGCAGTGCTCTTGTTTTTTAATGGCTGCTGGTTTCCTGAGCTCGGAAGACCAGGAGGTAAGCTTGCTTTCTAGTACTCTTCTCTGAACCATCTCACATGTCGTCTTTGCCTCATTGCTCTGCACAGGGTATTTGCCAGAACCCTTTCTTCTGTTGTTTCTGAGTATTTTTAAAAATGTTCACCCGCCTTGTGAATATGCCCTTCTGTAATTTCAATCTTCCACATTTTGTGTATTGTATATTGATAATTAATATATTTTAATGTATAACAATACATTATATATAATAATGTAATACTGTATGATGATATGTTGTGTATTAATAATACTGTATAATATTAAAATATAATATGCAATAATATATACCTTATATTTACATCTATTATAGTAGATGGTTTGGAAATATGGTTGCAATAATTCTGCACACTCTGTGTGTATACTCCTCTACAGTGTGACATAACTTGTTTGTCTAAGAGGTAGTCTATTTCCTTGGGTATTAGATCCCTCCAGAGGAACAGAAATAACAGTTTATTAGATTGACTTACATGATGTGGGCTGGGTAGTCCAACAGTGGCTGTTCTCAAGACTCTGGAGTCAGTAACAGCCTGGCGGCTACTTTTAAAGTGGGGTGTTTTTGATTGGTTTACACGATACAGTCTAGATAGTCCGACAGTGCCTGTCCTCATGTTGGAGAGGCTGAGAGGCCAACAGCGGCTTAGTCTAGGAGACTGGCAGTCTCAGCCGTCCCAATCTGGTGCTGAAAGCCTGCAGGTTTCCTGGAGATCTGCAGGTTTTCATTCCATGTGGGAAGGACAAAGAATTTGGGTTCTGATGTCACCAATAACAGCGGTAGCTGCGGCGACAGTGGCGGCAGCAGGAAC